CCTCCCAGCCTAGCCGCAGATTCAGTAAACAAGCGTAGGATTATTCAATGTTCTTTATGCCTGGACCAAAGGGTAAAGAATAGGTATGCTTCTATTTGGCACAATACAATTTGAACTGATTCACTTTATCCATTTACTATAATTTCTTGACAAGGAAAATGATGTTTTCTTATATATTGAATATCACATTAAGAACTTTATTAGTATAATTAATTATTTAAGAGTTCTTAGAATTATATATTTATTTCAATTACCTATTAGTGACAAATAAGCATTTTGAATTCCATTGTTGCGATTAAGTATTTCTTTTCTAAAATCTTAGTTCGTGGTTCTAATATTACTTCATGTGGGATCGATATCTAGGACTCCATTAGAGCCCTATATTACTTGAGCGATACGTATACTTGTATTGATAAGTGTGACTTTACCATTATTAAATATTTTATATATACTTCTTTATCAAATCTATAACGGTTATTAAGTTTTTGGTGTCGTTGCTGAGGAATTAAATCTATTAAATCTTTTAGCAATTAAATCTTTTAGCAACAGTATTAAATACTTGTAGTTTTAAGCATATATAAAGTCGTTGTCAAGTTTTTGACACCGTTGTTGGGGAGTAAACAAGAATCATAATGAATAACAGACTAATTATGACTATTAGAAATTTTTTACTTGAATTGCAACTTATTTTCATATTTAGTTGAATTAACTATTTTCTGTGTACTGATTTCAAATTGTATGCATAAATTTGGACCTGAAAATCTTATACCCTACAATTCGGAATTATAACGCACTGTTAGAAAAATTAGAAGATTGAGAAGAGAACCTAGAAATTCTGATACAATGGAAAATAACATGAACAATCAAGGAATAGAAAATGAACACCAACTTAGACCCCTACGAGATTATGCAAATCCTACAGCCGATGAAATTCACTTATCTATCCAAAATCTTGATGTAGCTGCTAATTCATTTTAGCTTAAACCTGCTATTATCCAAATTGTACAAAACAATCAATTCAGAGGTACACTAAATGAAGATCCTAATTTACACCTCGCTAGTTTTCTAGAACTGTGTGCTACCTTTAAATGTGACAGAGTTTCAAACGATTTTGTTAGACTTAGACTTTTTTCTTTTTCACTTAGGGATAAGGCTAAGATGTGGTTAAATTTGTTAGCACCAGGATCTATTAGAACTTGGGGAGAACTTTCACAGAAATTTTTATCCAAATATTTCCCTTCATCCAAAACAGCTAAACTTAGAAATGACATAACATCGTTCTGTCAGATTGATGGAGAGTCAATATATGAAGTTTGGGAGGAATTTAAAGATCTTCTTAGTAAATGCCCTCATCATTCGTTACCAAATTAGTTGATAATTCAAACTTTTTATAATGGATTAGTGGGATCACTTAAATCGATTATAGATGTTGCGGCTGGTGGTTCTTTAATGTCAAAACCTTTTAATGAGGCTTATTCGCTAATAGAAGAGCTGGCTACCAATAATTTTCAATGGCCCTCTGAAAGGGTATATCCTAAAAGAGTAGCTAGTATCCATGATTTTGATGCAACATCTATGTTAGCTTCACAGATTGCTGCAATATCAAAGAAATTAGATCATTATGGAATGAATTATTCTCCAACACCTACTATGATGGAAGAAAATTCATCTGAGAAATTTGTGATTGTTCAACCTTCGTATGAGACTTTAAATGTTATTAATAGACCCAACAATCCTTATTCGAAATATTATAACCCAGGTTGGAAGAATCATCCAAATTTTAATTAGAATAACAATTCTGCTACAAATCAACAATGGTCAAACAACCCAGTGAACCCATTAGAAAATTCATCCAACCAAGGAAATATTAATTATAGACCTTTTTATCCTCCAGAATTTAACAGTAATACTCAAATTAAGGAAAAGAAGTTGTCTATGGAAGAGTTGATATTAAACATGGGTCAACAATTACAGAATCAAGGAAATCAATTACAAATTCAAGGAAATCAATTACAAATTCAAGGAACTGCTATTAAGAATATTTAAAATCAATTAGGGTATATCGCTACTGCGCTTAGTAACCGAACATTAAGAACTTTTCCTAGTACTGTGGAACCAAATCCTAAAGGTCAAGAAAAAGAACAAATAAAAGAGATACAATTACGAAGTGGAAA